GATAGATAGATAGATAGATAGATAGATAGATAGATAGATAGATAGATAAACAGACAGATTTTACTGCAGACTTGAAGTCTAAATGTCATTAAATAGATATAGTTTATTTTAAATGATTATGACAATATTGGTTTTAGACAAATGTTTTTAAATGTGTAAATGTTCACTTTCTTTTAATTCATTGTTTAAAAGCTTACAATGTTTTGCTATCGGCCATTGCTGGAGGCATGGCCTTATATCGAAGCATTTACATTATTAAAGTAGACTATTAAAGACAAAAGGCACTTCTAAACTATACATATATACACAAAACTGAAAACTAAGGGAGACGTGAAAGTGCAGCTCTTAAGTAAATGTTTATTTAAAAATATTTTAAATTACTAAATGATACTGACACCTAATTATAATGTAATCCAAYAAATTAGTCTGTAAAAGTTATCATTCTGTTGAAAATCATAAAATGTAACGGAGTAATATTATTTTGTTATATTATGAAACTTTAATAAAAGTTGGTTTTCTCAACGATCCTTGTAAAAAAAAAAAGGCTGCTGTGCTGCAGAATAAGTTGTCATCAGCTGTTACAAAAAAAGAGTAATTTCTTTAAATGTGCCACTACCCTTTAATTACAGGGCTGGGTTCCAGATTATCATGTGGTCACTTGTGGAGCCCTATCTGCCGACATGTCAGGGCTGTGGGAGTGAACATAAACTCGGTCTGTCTGTGTTTCGGTGAGGGTTTTTCCAGCTCGGCCCCGGTGCTGGAGTGGATGCAGCCTGCTGAAATGACGGAGGAGCTGTAATCTGAGAGGAGCTCAGAGGGATTATTAGTCAAGAAGCCAAGAGCGGCACTTCACACAACCAGATGTTGCGTTTGAGGCACCGGGAGAAGTCGGGAGCAGCAACGACTCTTCCCCGCGCCTAGACGAACTTTTTACACACTGGTGATGCAAACTGGCAGGGAGGATTAAAAAAGGAGAAACAAGAGGAGCTGTTAAAAAAAACTATTTGTTGTTTGTTTGGGGAGGGGAGAAGAGAGGAGAGGACTTGAAAACTTTACAACTATAGCTCAGATTCAAGCTAGTATTTGATTTGCAACGTTCACGTGCGCTGAAATGAAATAGTAAATTAGGACTCTTTGGTTTTCTCCCGGCGTTAAAAACTTTTTTTTAGTCTGTGTGAGTGTATGTGGAACAAGTGGGAGTCATGGCTTTACTTCACTTGCTCCTAAGYGCCGGGATGCTGTCCCTGTCCGTGCGTGGAGCTTTTTTCCGGGGACCTTTACATCCAGAGATGTCAAACGGAACTTTTCATCATTACTTTGTGCCGGACGGCGACTACGAGGACAACGACGACCCGGAGAAATGCCAGATGCTCTTCAAAATGACCGACGAGCGAAAGTGCACTCTGAACGARGACCAGGACGCCGTGATTCGGGAYGACTTCACCATCATAAAGCGGCAGATAGAGGACTCGGCGCGGGTGCTGGAGGGCATCGGCAAGAGCGTCTCCTACGACCTGGACGGAGAGGACAGCTACGGGAAGTACCTGCGGAAGGAGACGACCCAGATCGGCGAGGCGTTCACGAGCTCGGAGAAATCCCTGCTGGAGCTGGAGGTGAAGTTCAAGCAGAGCCAGGAGAGCGAGCTGAGGGAGGAGCACCGGCTCAATGACGACTTTCTCAACATGATAGTCCACACGCGGGACGCCCTGAAGGAGACCCTGGACATTTCTCTGGGCCTGAAGGACAAGCACGAGCTGCTGTCTCTCATCATCCGCAGCCACGGCACGAGACTGAGCAGGCTGAAGAACGAGTACATGAAGTTCTGAAAGAAAATAGTCCCTAAACGCCTCATTAGAGCACAAAGAAAAGTTATTTTCATAGTGTGGTGTGGAGAAGAAGGGGTGTATTTTATTTTATTTTATTTTTATTTTATTTTATTTTTGGTGGGGGGGCATAAAATTTAAGCATTGGTGTTTTTTTATTTTAAAGAAAATTATAGTCATTTATAGCAGTTAATTTTTGAGGCATTTGCTCAGATTTAGTAACATAAAAAGAGCATTAAATGTGTGATAGCAACTAAACTGGGTGCAGCATTGTTACCTGATCTCAGGGTCCTATTTGGTAGAACAGCCGCATGTCAGAATATTTTTGTTTTATTATAATATAGTCTGTTTTTTTTGGGAAGTTGTGTTGAAATATTTAATACTATGCAAAATGCACGTTGAGGACTATACAGATTGATGGTGTGAAGTTTAGTTCACAAAAATCTGGGCCTATGGGTAGTTACCTTGGTTTTTGTGTTAGAATGTATTGTTTTTACTTTACTGTACTGGACTGTATCTGACACCGTCAACACTTTATATTTATATAAGGTGTAGATAAAAAAAAATAATGAAAAAAAAGCTAATATATTTTCACAGTAACCGACATGTAATCTTAAAAAATACTCTGCTGCAATTTCTGCGAAACAGCTTGCAGGAGAAATWCTTCATGCATCAACTAGCCAGATGAAATGAAAACAACTGAAATACCACGCTAAACATCAAAACAAACCCAAGAAAATGTCAATTAAAATGGAAATAAACTATTTAACACATTTTTCTGGCTCTATGCACTAAAGAGAATTTTTAATTTTATAGAATAAATCCCAAATTTGATGAATTCTTTATGAATGATCAATTTTTTTTTTTTTTGCTCGATGTGTTGAGTGTTGTTCAAAATCTATGTGGAAATGAATTCTCTGTATGACTTTGGAACATAGAATGAAAAACAAAAGGCTTTAGTCCTCTATGACTGAAGCCAGGGATTTAAATATTTACTTGAGAGTAAAACTGGATGCACAGCTCAGTGTTTGCATTCCCTTCTGAATCCTGTTTTTAGATCAAATATTTAAAATAAAGCATTAAAGTAACTTTAGTTCCTCGTCTTTGACCCTAAATATGAATGTTCCCGAACAGTCCAAATAAATGTTTACATGGTTTGACGTAGCTGTTGTAGTTTTGTCTCGTTTAGTTTTATAGGTGAACAGACTTTGCACAATTCTTTATAGGTTGTGACATTATAGTCCTTGTAATGTTGTAAAATGTACAGTTTAATATTAGAAGTAAATACTGTGAGTGCCAATATCTTTATGAATGAATCATTGTATCTATGTTTGTTATGCAAATTTGAACTATCTATCCTTGTTTACCTTCACGACAAGATGTAAGACTTTGATGGATGAGACTGCAGGCAGCACTCGTGTCTTTTTGTGTCAGAAACTTCTCAGTGTGACTCCATGTTTATTAAAAATTGTCTCGTGACTTCTTTGAATAAAGTAATTATGTTCAAAGTACAACGTTTCTGCAAGAGTCAGTGGGGAGGGGGACAGAGGGGCAGGGGGCTCAGCTCGGATCAAAGCACTTGCCCTTCCAATCGTTCTTGTTTTCATCCAGTAGTTTATGATGCCAAAGTGACAACAAGCCATTAATTATGTCAGGAGTTATTCCCATGGCGCTGCCTGCTGGAGGTCTTTGGATCGTGTGCCGCGTAGCCGACCCCACAAAATGGCAGTAGCACCGAAATAATTGGGAGAGCATGATATATTGCCMCGTGCAAATTACAAAGTTCCTCACCATGTTTGCCTAACAAGGTTTTCAAGTCAGCTATGAATTATACTCAAAGGCTCCAGCCTCATAATTATAAGTGCTTTGAAGAAAGTAGCTGCTTATCGGCATTTATGAGAAGCAAAGATGTAAGGGTGTGTGTTTTAGGTGCTGCAGCGGGCCTTACGAAGCCCCCCGCTAGCTCTCAACGAATTTATTAAAAACTTTTGCAGCCATAGTTTGGCCCACGAAGGTCCCGGGTAATTTCAAGCAAACCTGACATGTTCAATTAAAGGAATTAAAATTTTTGAACTACGCAATTTATCAAAAACAAAAAAGATGTCCCCTACAAAGAGCAGATTGTCTCACAGATTAAACTCAGGATGAAGCAACATACTGCTCCAATATATCAACTATCTTACCTTATTTGTTTTCACAAGAGAGGGCGGTTTTCTCGTTTAAGCTTTAAACAGATTAATGGTACCATGTAGTGGGAAAGCCATTTATCTAACTGGCATCCTTGACAGGATAAGTGCCACCATGAGACTTTGAGTTTATTTCACAGCGGAGAGGTATTGCCCTAATTTGTATTTAACATTGATCCTAATGTTATATAATGGTACTATTAGCTACAAATGAATAGCCTTTGTTATTTCAATAAAAGTTTTGTGCAAACAAAATGTTTTTACAGAAAGATGTAAAAATATTGTTAGCAACTACAAAACATTTTACTCATAAGTTTTGCTTTTGCTACTCATTATCTAGATGGATTACAGGGTGAGTAAGGCAGCTATACAGCCTGACTACTTTTATTACATGAGAAAAGATTGGATAAGCTTGAGCCAACAAGCACATAGCCTACCAGTTTGTTAGATAATGGAGCTGTCATCATTGTTTTAGCCTTATGAACYGACTGCCATGTTGTAAATGTGGTGGTGTTTAGGTTAATAATTTACAAAATGATGCTTTTTAAAATGAAGACTCGCATGTTAGCGTGTGCTGTTTAGATAAAAGGATTGTGCTGCACAACCAGCAGGTACAGCCCGTCCTGGCTGAACCTCCAACAGACCTACGAACGGCTAAACTGAGAGGTAACTGTGTTACTTTTACTTGTGTTTTTTTAAGCTATAAATTTCTGAGGAATAAATTAATCCAGACTAGTTATTCAAATTCATTACAAATTTTGAATAACTTTTTTAAACTTTCATGGCAATAAATGATAAGTTTCACTGTCAGTCTGTTGGGCTAAAAAGTTTTACAACTTGAGAATGAACAAATGCAAATCAGGCTGGTCTTTGACTTTTTGTTTTTCTTCAACAAACATTTTTAAAGATTAAAAGGCATTTAGATACAAGAGGACTGACTTATACAAACTAAAGCAAAGCAATGCCCAGGAGTTTGCTTTCAGTCCTCTGTTTACCCTGCTGGAAACTTCTATACAAATGTTTCTAGTAATTTTGTTATAGAAAAGGCATTYGAATGGTGATGATTGGTAACCATTTTATCTGACAAAGAAACTTATTGTATAGTAAGTGCCAATACATGTTGTCATTTTTGAGCTGTCTGTTGAAGCAGATTTTTCATTTCTTTGTGAACAAATAGTGAAAAAAAGAGCTTTGTGTGTCTACGTAGAAAGAATAAGAGACACAAAACAACMCATCAAGTCATCMWWTTCAAACATGTTTGTTTTTTAGAAAAAAAAAAGTGTCATAAAAAATGGATACATTTCTCAGATCTCTCCTTTTCAGGTTTATTTTGCACCAAAATGACAACTCCGTTCAAAAAAAAAATCTGAGATGTTGGATGAGTGAAAACATAAGAAACCAAATCAATTATTTTTTAATAGCAAAAAGAAGAGCAAAAGAATGTAGACCTTTTATAAAATTATACGGCAGCCACACAAGTTGGGATTGATGTGTCATTTGACAGTTTTATTATTATTTTTTTAATCTCACTATGCACCCAAGGTTTTTAGTTGGTGAGAAGTCTGGACTATTTGCAGGTCAGTCTAGCACCTGGACACATATGGACCCACACTGTTGTAACAACTGCTGTATATGTTTTAGCGTTAATGTCTTGCTGAAACAAAAAGCAAAGCCTTTCCTAAAAAAATGCATTGTCTGAATGAAAGTGTGTTGTTCTAAAATCGGTATATACTGTTCCGCTTCGATGTGTCATTTCAGATTTAAAAGCTGGCCATGCCAAATAAAAATAATGCACCCCCATACTATTTGAGAGGCAAGCTTTTGGGCTGTGTGCTAACGGAATTGTCTGTCTCTCATGGAGGAGATGTCATATATGGTTCCCAAACAGATCGTCAAATTTTCATTTGACCACCAAGCAGTTTTTCTCCAACCTGAAAAGCAACAGCCATAAAACACAGTTAGAGCCAAACTGATGAAGCGTATTGTTTTTTATTAATTAGGAATGCCTCAGCAAAATCAAGCTATTAAATAAAGCCAGAGATTGCAAAACAAAATAATAATGATGCAGTGTTTTTTTTCATAATTCCCTATTTTTTCTCAGAATTGAGGGATTCTATATTTTTTCCCTCAACTTGATTTAATATAGCAACTGTAACTGACTACAATACATTTTTTCTTTTTTAATTGTTTCTTAATG